TCAACCGGTCCCTGATGCCCAAGGAATTTCACATTCCGAATACTTTAGTCGATTCGGATTGACACCGCTGGTGAACGGTCTTCTTGGCATGATCGAGAAAGATACCGAAGTACCCGCAGAGAAAACGAGGCCTTTTCGCGTATCGCTGTCGCTGATGGACCGATGGGAGGTTGGCGGCTACATTGTGCCGGAAGTATTCTTGCCGATCATGCGAAGTGTCCAGGCTTTTGAATCGAAAGCGTCAAAAACTCAATTCGAGGAAGTTTTTCGCAGTGCCAGTTCTTTCTTTGATGGCGTGGAAAGCGGCGTCATTTTCTCCGAACTTTTGTATCTGATTGACTGGAAGTCCAAGGACTTGACCTCAGGGCACGACAAGGTACTGAAGAATCTGGAGCTTGCGCATTTCATCCTCGAAAACTTCAATGTGCGCGAAGAGGACATGGTACTTGCACATGTGCCTTTGCTGACTCTCGCCACAATCATCAAATCGAGCGAACTCTCTCCGGAAAAGAGTCCTAACTTGGACCAAGAGCGGCTGCGTGCCGTAGCAACTGGGCTGTCCCGTGTTATGACTTCTTTATCGGGCCTACTCACCGAGAGAGCGTTCGCGAAGAAGTCTGATACCCATAAGGCGGATGGCTCCAAGTCCGATGTACCTGGCTCACAAATTTTGAGTAGGATACATGCCTTTTATGAACAGAGCAAACAGAGTCTTGATCCTCAGCCGCTTCCATTCGCCCCCAAGCACCTTGGGGAACTCATCATCAGGAATGCCTACGAACAAGCTATTGAGGCTCTCGATGGCCGTGGCGATGCGACACAGATGCATGAACGTATAAGCCTTCTTATTGTCATGTTGAAGAAGCTTCCAAAAACAAAGATTCTGCGCGATAGACGCCTTTACTTGGCACTATGTGATCGTGTTCGCGCTGATCAAGTGGAGACATCCACCGCCTCCTTCGCAGCCATCTCCTCGATTGCATCCGCCATTACGAGCATGTATATTATCCATAGCCCCGGGTACTACATCAGTTACGAGGATGTATCTGACTTGATTCCCACCCTTGTCAACCGGCTATGGCTGTATCTTTCGCCGCTGAACCCTAAGTTTCATGTCGAGGCAGTTCGCTCATTGTGGCATTTGCATTCTGTTTCATGGACCGATCATCTGGTCGAGGCTGCGATCAGTTCTCTGATGGTGGACAAGTCGAACGGGCATCGTCAATCATCGTCGGCAGAACAAGCAGGGAGGTACTTTGTTCTCTGGTCTCACAGTCACCACGGTACATACGAGCTCCCTCCGAAGCAGTTGCATAATGTGTCACAGCTGGGAATCTCTTACCAGTCATCGATGCTCGAGCACCCTCTCTTTATCGTCTTGGACTTGCTCAATCAGGGCGTAAATGAAGCCTCTCAGGTCGTACACCGCTGGCTTGAAGACCTGTCTTCCATACATAAGTACGTTTGCACCCCACTCCCAGTCTCTCCCATATTACTTTACTGTTTAATATTGGATTGAAAAGTCTGCTTTGAACAAGTGCTTATGTCCTATAGAGTTTTCCGCATGGTAGTTTCGAGGCTTGATCGTCTATTCCAGCAGTCAGAGAACGCAGAGCCAGACACTGCGAATCCCACTGTATCTCCAGACGACTACAGAGAGTGCAGCTATCTACTACAGACAATATCCAATCTCATATCAACGCTTTCACATAATGGGTGGATCAGCTTGCTCACCCAGACGTTGGTACAAACAGAGAAGCACAAGGACACTCCAACATCTGAAGGTCGGTTCTAACAAGCATTCCTGTGACCAAATTTCTGATGATAGTTGCAGATAACTCTGGAGCCCAGAGCCTACATGCGGTCATTTTCCAGGCCTCTCTCAGAGTGGTTAGCGGACATACGACGGCTGCTCATCAGGGCGTGGATGAGATCAAACTGCAACAAACTGCGCTGCTTGTGATGCGTCAACTTCTTCTTGGCCCCGGGGCCGAGGAGGTGGCCGAATCTGGAATTGACTCCTTCCTTGTCGATAGGCTGTCCAGCGTGCTCGATAACGGTGGTAGTGTCGGTATTCAAGCAGCACTTATCGACACTCTTCTCGCAGCGCTGAAGGTTCGATTTGCTCAAGCGTACCTGCCACCACCCCCACCACGCCCAAAGCATCAAAGGACTACCTCTCGAGAGCGTCTAACAAGTCCTTCTATCTTATCCTTCACAAGCGACAAACCTGATAAGTCTCTTGCATTGCCACCTCTACCCCAGCCCCCTCAGCAACTATTGGAGTGCCTTCTAAAAGGCATAAGCTCTCCAAACTCCAGGGAGATAGTGGAGAGGTGGACAATACTGCTTTGCGAAGTACTTCCGCTTTATGCAGGATCCATCTTCCAGATAATCCTGATGTTAGTGGAATGCTTTTGTAAGGAAATCCAATTGGCATATGCAAGTCTTCAGCTATCTTTCAAGCGCACCGAGGGTTGGCCCGAAGATCGCTCTGAACACGCTACGATCGCTCTACTCACCGGTCTCGAGACTTGCATCGCAACTGCCCACGAGCGTCTGCTGTCGGAAGAAGCAAATGTACCGGCTGCCAAGAGCCCGGACCAGAATCATGGGTTCTTTGGAAACATGGTCTCAGGAGTCTTCGCGTCTGAACAGAGTCATGCTCGGTCCAGCGCGGCCAATAACCGCCTCACCGTTTTGCTTTGCTTCCAGGACGCTGTGCGACTTTGTTTTTCGATATGGTCGTGGGGTGCGGTAGAACGAAGCACACTCCCTCAAGACCCGGAGTCGTTGGCATCTTTCCAATATACATCCTTGCGCATGAGGAATAGATCGCGTCGGATATTGGAACACTTGTTCACGGCCGAAGCACTTGAATGTCTTGAAACTGCGGTAGAGGTATGGACGAAGTCAGACAGCGACACTTCGTCCTTGATCATCAGTTTACTTCACACGCTGGATGGATCTCGTCCAAAAATCACAATACCAGCTGTATTCAACTCTATCTACACGCGAACTAACCCCGCCGCATTGGAACCCAACCGCAAGTCCACCTTGACCGCAAGCCTTACGGAGTCTGAGCTGGCAGGTTTCCTAGTGACCTACGCCAGGTCACTTGAGGACGATGTTTTGGATGAGATTTGGGCAGATTGCACCACCTTCTTACGAGATGTTTTGAGCAATCCTTTTCCGCATAGGCAGATCCTTCCGCGATTAGTGGAATTCGCAGCGATCCTTGGGGCGAAGTTGGAGAATACGAGCTTCGGAGAAGATCGACGGATGAGGAAGGAGTTAGGAGTATGTTTCATCTAATTTTGATTTTAACGTGGCTATGCTGACAACTTTAGGATGTACTCCTCCGTCTCCTGACGGCAATATTCACTAGCAAGCCCATGGGTCTCTCCCAAGAGTCAGCACTTCTCGGCCGGGCGTCTATTGACTATGACAGTGGATCGCTGCCACATGTTGGGCCTGATGACCTGCTCAGCATTCTTGCTGCCTCTATGCCAGCGCTTACAACAACCTTGGGCGATTCGGATCGTATTACTACCGCGGTGTCTGGGATATCTACTCATATAATCGGGCCACTCTTTCGCGCACGCCTCTTTCCGAATAACGTTAGTCGGAATTTTATGGCGCTCCTCCAGCACATAGCAAAAATCCCCGCTGCTTCCAAGATTTGGAAGAAGGATATCTCTGATGCCTTCAACGACCCGAAATTCTTCGGAATGCAGCTTGATTTGGTGAAAGACGGCTGGGTAAACCTTTTGCGGCAATGGGTGCTCGCCGACAAAGATCGAATGTCTGAGTTGATGTCCCGACTCACTCCGCCAAGTACTGCAGGCATCATGTTTGGCGTTGGGGCTTCTGCTGCCCGTCTAGAAGCGGATCGAAAGGCGCAATTGAATCTCCGCAGGATAAGCCTCCTTATCCTGTCAGCCAACACTGACTACTTTGTTGCAGAGCTACCTGCACTCCTTCAGAAGTTGGAAGATCTCTTGGGCGCGACTAGTTCCTCGTCCCCATCTTCTACGACCAGGTCCGAGGTTTTCATGGTTTTGCGCGCCCTTGCCCTTAAGTGCACAGCCACTACTCTGGCCCCCTTTTGGCCGTTGATGAATTCTGAGCTCCAGGAGGCCATCTCAGCGGTCTCGGTAGGCCAGCAGCAGGAGGTGTACAACCCATATGCGCTGCTACAGGCGTGTAAGCTGTTGGATACTCTGCTCATCCTCGCGCCTGATGACTTTCAACTTCTCGAATGGCTTTACGTGACCGACACCATAGATGCGGTCTACCCTCCGGAGCGCTTTGAACCCATGGCACTCGCGGACGAAATCTCGCAGAGCTTGGGAGCGCGCGGATCGGCCTCGTCGGATGGACTCGGGGAGACGGCCGATCTCAGCCAGGGGGTGAAACAGCCAAGCCTGACTGCTGACTGGATTCGCGAAACGGCAAAGGATGAGATTGTTGAGCGAGTCCTTCGGCCGTTCTTTGATCAGCTCAGCATTCATGCATTCGAGAGCACGTATAGCATGGGCCATCCGCGGTTGGACGTCTGCCGAGACGACCTGTTAGCGGATTTGTTCAACGAAAGTACGATGGCCAACTAACAGCGTCATTCATTTATTTCCAGTTCCTGTTACCGAGCGAGCCTCTCTTGTATTATACCCAATGCCTGTATGCCAGACTCCGCGCTGTCCGTAACAACCGAGGTCTACGATCTCTGTCTTACTATAGTAGATAGAACTGTCTTTTCCAGTATTTGCCATTGGACGCATAATGGTCTGTATCAAGCAGGTCGTATCCATGGAACAATCCAGTAGCATCTCCGCACGTAGCCCAGCCACCAATAATACTTGTGATCAATCGTAGGCGGCAAATACAATAACCAGCAGCATAGTTGGGGTAAAGGAGGTCGGAGAACGCGCCGTGGATAATTGGGCCGGCAGCAGCCGCAGTCTCCGCCCAAAACAGCACCGCCAACGTCACTCATCCCAAGCTCTCCCCGGCGCCCCCAACTTCATCTCCTTCCAACGTGAGAAAAAACCTGATCATTTTGCCTAGCGATGCTCTGTGCTGATTGCAACTGCAGATCATCAAACAATTTATGACCATGAACGCGTGCAAGAGAATGTTGCCCGGCCTGCGCTCCGTCGCAACCAAGTCGGCATTTGTCCCGGCGCGGAGCTTTTCGGTCTCTCCCTTCATGAAGGAAGCGGCGCACACTCTGCCTACGAAGAAGCCCGTGGGCGCGTTTCGCGGAGGGTACGATCAATTTTAGACTGTGCTTCGTCCAAAGTCTCACTAGCTTACTGATCATAAACTAGTCTGTTCGGATTCCTTACTGGCGCGATGGCTGCCAGCGCTGGAGTCTACTTCTATGTCCTGGGCGAGTACAGGATCGCGAACGAGATGCTGACAGAAGATATCATCGTACGTATACTATTATCTCCCCAGATAGTCCTATAAGAGCTACTAATAAGGTAATCAGGCTCTTCAAGGAGCTACACAAAAGCTGCAGACGTACATTGGTGAACTAGAAAGGAAGGTGGACCAGTTGCAGAAGAAGAAATAAGCTTGAACATTCTCATTAATGCTGAACTTATTACCCCGTTCATTCAATTCTTCCATTTGTTTGCTCTGCGACATTCATATTCCCTTTTGCTGTTCTACCGCGCAATTTCATCCTCGGTTCCCAGCATCAATCATGTTGTTTTAGTTCCAATTGCAGGGTCTGGCACAGATGAGCGCCAGGAGTAAAACAGCGACAGAGGATCGCGTAATGAACCAACAGCCCTGTATACGAACAGTATTTATCTATATGTACACTAATACCAGCCATGTATGTCTTCTCTAATCATCTAGTAGTATATCAACCAGTTGGCGGCGAGTCGCTGGCGTCATCGAGCCAAAGCTCCCTGCAAACAAGACAAACCCGGGCACGGGACCATCTCCGGTCTCTCGAACCATCCATCCATTTTCGCGGAGATTCAAATCCATCCCATCCAAGTCCATCATCGCCTTTAAACACCCTGAACCGAACCATGCCCTCCATCCTCTCCTAATCATGTATCACGTCGAACTCCTCCCCAACAGCACAACCACCCACGCCACTCCCGGGTGGACCTACGTCCCCGATCGCGGATTCGACCCAGCCAAAGCCGCCATCACGCCCGCCATCGGCCGCAAACGCGGAATCCGCGATCCAGGCCGAGCGGACCTCTCCTCACGACAGAACAATGCTATCGTTCGACATCTCGCGGAGCTGGATCGCGAGAATCATCGCGACGTGCAGATCTCAATTCCAGTAAAACAGAAGGATGCGTCTGGTCGAGGTATGCCATACACACACATACACACACATCCTACGTTCACGGAACACACACATGCTAACCTACAACCCCAGGCACAAGAGGCAAAGTCACCTCCAACGTCCGCCGGATCCTCCAATCCCAAAAGACCTTCCGCAACTACCTCGACGACGAAGAAGCCGCTCTAGCGCAGCAAGCATCCACCCAGCAAACCCAACAACAAGCCTCCTCCACCTCCACCTCCTCGCACCGCCCCTCCATCAACAAAATCACCAAACCGGGCTCTACCTCTCGGCGCAGCTCAACACCCCTAACAGCAGCACCAACACCAAAGCCCGATACCTCCTCGCGCAGTAATCGCAAAGCACAACGCCCATGCTCCACCGCCCCGACCTCCTCCCGCGCCTCAACCGTAACCACCGCCGCCGAAACAGAAACAGAAACACCAGCCCCCGACAAAGACCAATCCCAAGACAAAGACAACACCGAATCGAAGGAGAAGGAAGCGGAGGAGGAGCAAAACCCCCATGAACTGATAAAATCCGAACACGACAACGACCCCCTTTTGAAATCATATATTCCCTCCGCGCCGTCGGAACGTATCATGCAGGCTTTGCTCGCTGAACCGCCGTTGACGTATCATGCATCGCGCGCTGGCCCGCCGATCGCGAGGAAATCGCCGCGATATTTCTGCTGTATGTGTGGGTATTGGGGGAAGATTCGGTGCAAGAATTGTCATTTGAGGACTTGTGGGTTGGGGTGTTATAAGGTGCATGAGGATTCGAGGTGCGGGGCGTTTTTCTAGTCGGGATGAGTTGGTTTGGGGGGGGAATAAGATGACTAGGGAGTAAGAGGGTGGTAGTGTCCAGAGAGTACTGCACTATCAGCCTTTGAGTCTACACTCAGGACACCACTACTGAATCTTTGGCGGAAGCTCTCGAGCCGCTCCCCAGGGCATGGTGCATATCCCTACTAGTGGAGGCCCGCGCTGATGCGGGCTATATGAACATTTTGATACCCTATTAGATGCAACTAATTATGCTATTCCAAATCTAGCAATGCGTCTAAGCAACTGCTGTATAATATTCACAGATAGAATCAATATTTCAAGTCAATACCAGCCCGTGCTTCCTCTTCACGGATCTCAAACATAACCTGCACTCCCACAAACAAAGCACAGCACGCTGAGATGAGGTAGATGATGCCGGCCCAGGACCCCAATATACCAGCCAAAAGGCCCTCCAATCCATCCAACCCTAACGCGAATCCGACCAGGTTTGCGATCATCATCATGAGAACGTTGCCGACTGCTCCAACTCCACAAAGGACGCGGTACGCTGTCGGGCGGGAACGCCATTTGCTGGCTGGGAACAGTAGTCTGCCGATGACTTCGGGCAGAACGAAGAGGGTTATAAGCCAGCCCCACATGAGGAGACGAGGGTTGATGTCATGCCAGAGAGCAACAAAGGTGAAGACAATAAGCGTGTTGAAGATCTGGCGGGCCTTGGCGTAGATTCCGGAAGATTTGCCACGGTCGGCACTTCCTCTGCTGCCTCCACCTAGGGGCACGTAGAGATAGCGCACGATCCAACGATTGAAGGAGCGGTGCCATGCGCGCCAGAAGGAGGAGGGAGAGTAGTTGTTCGACACGCAGCGTATCATGTTTTCGGTCGGGTCAATTCCGTCGACCAATGCCCAGAAACGGAAGAACCGCCATGGAATTAGAAGTTTGAGCCAGATGATGTGCAGATTGAAATATGCCAACATGCTGAGTTCGCCAGCTGTGTACAGGGACCAGTCGGGAGACGCCTTCGAGATAGCCACGGCGTAGATGAAATGAAGTATGAGCTCCATGGCGAGTAGTGTCAGGAAGAAACGGACACCGTAGAGTACTGTTCGGGTCCGCGTAAGAGATGGAGGTGCGTATCTTTGCTGGGAGATGTAGTCGTTGAAGGTCAAAATAGGGCCTGTCAAGTACAGCGGAGCGTAGAGAACATAGGCAAGGTAATAGCGCCCATTGAACGCAGCTGGCTCCGCGGGGATACTGACACGGTCACGCTCTGACAGTGCTGCAGGATCGACTTGTTTCTTCTTATCTCTGTCAGCTTGGGTCCCGTACCGCAGGGGAAATGGACTTACTTCAATGGGACTGGCAGCGGGGTAGTCGAGGCTCCAATAGTAATCCATGTTGAAACTAATCAATCGAAGGATCGTAATGTTGAAGAGAATCTCCCATCGGGGCATGATACCACCAAATCCGTCAAGGTAGCGACCCCAAAGTACCAAGGGTGCCTCCTTGTCTGCACCACTCGGGGCCACGAACAAAGAAGCCACCCATTCCAAATGGTAGCCGGAACAGAGTTCGTTCGCAAGCAGCGTTCCGATATTAAACAACCAAGTTGCCGCAGGGATGTACTTCCTGGGGAGACTCTTGGAGATATTGTAGTTCACATATAGAATTGCGAGGACCTTCAGCGCAGAAACACCGTGAAGGGCTGTGATGAAGACAAGCGCGAAATAGAAGTCGAAGCTGATCCGCTGAGTGAGACGAGCATCCGCAGCAAGGACTGTCGGAGAAGCCTTAGAGGGCCCGGTATCTCCGGCGACTGGGCGTACATAGCTGTTGTATAGACGGCGAAGCAACGGGTGACCGACTAATAGCAGCAACAGGTAGGGTATGTTATCGCGGAACGAGGAATACTGGTCATCGGAGTTGTCCTACCAAAACCAAGAAGTCAGCGTCTGACATTGAATAACTACACGAGTTACTTACAACTTGACGTCCGGGTATCCAGCCAGGCGACAGCAGATGAGCGTAAGTCGGATATGAAGGGTGGCTCTCTACATAATCAAGTCAGCATAGCTGCTCCTCTTGCAGCAGAAAAGTGGTTCGGGCTTACTCTGCGATACCCCAATGGCCGTGATAAACATCAACGGAACAGCGATCAAGAAGATCACATAGTAGATGTAGAACTCAAAAGTTCGCCATTTCGGAGGGGGAGCATTGCGCGCAATCGCAATGGCACGGGCATCTCTGGCGGAGGGAGCTCGCGTGTGACCCGCGGCAGCTTTGGGCGGAGTAGTAGAAGAGGTAGTCAGGCGAGTATCTAGAGTATCGAGGGAGTATAATCTCCGAAGCCACGAGAGTAGTGAAAGAGGCATCTTAGCACTAGCATTGCGTAGTGCAACCCCTCAGAGACAAAGGAAGAGGGGAGACACCGTAAGGACTGAGTGCGGAGAGCAACAGGAACGGATGTTGGGGAGATCATCGCGGATTCCATTTTTGGCTCAGGGGCGGATCTCCGCTGGGGTCACGGGCTGCTGGTTATGCCGCTGTCAGCACTGCATACCAGAACAGGAAGCACTGATACCACTTGAAATAACATTCATTACATAAAGTAACATCTTCATCAGAATGCATCTAATAGCCATAGATTGGGTCTAATTACAACTTATTACTAGTAGTTATCGTGCACTTGAACTGGCTCGATAAGTGACTAATCCAGATAAACAGACATTGATTGGCCGCGAGCAATATCTGACCTAATCGAGACTAGCGTACGCAGTAGCACCCCTCATGATATCAGATGACTAAGCCATGGCCTGCCTCACCAGCTTCAAGAGAACAATAACCAGTCCATAGACATCAAAAGTCGGTGATATCTTCTTTATGCTTTGGAAAAGGTCATATACATCTATCAAGATGGCATCGCAACGTGTAAGGCTTTCCCCTCAGACCCTTACCCAATACACAGTACACACTTCCCTGGGGTCGCTACGTCATCTATAACAGATGGACTAACACAACTACTCCAGATCGCATTCAAAGTATCTGGCACGGTCCAAGGCAAGTTCACGTCAATGCTCCTAGGCAACATCTGTGAAACTATTCTTTCTGTAGCAGACGAGTCTAACACTTAATCTGGCAGGAGTGGGATTCCGGTAACTACCCTGCCTTCTGCACGCTATAGATGCACTTCTCGCTAAGCACGCCGCGATCTATAGGGACTTTACTCAGAAGAGAGCCACTGCATATGATGTAAAAGGCTGGGTGAAGAACACACATTGTGGAAGGGTGTGTGCTGTCCCTTTCTTCTTCTCATCTAACACTGTGCCCATTTCTGTCCATGAATCTCCTTTCATGTTGATATCAGGTAAGTTACTTATACTAATACCATGCAGGTAGAAGGCGAAGCCCAAGGAACCGAAGAGTCTCTACAGAAGTTCCTGAAAGACATCAACAATGGACCCCGCCATGCACATGTCGTCAAGCTAGAGAAGAAGGAAATCGCACCGAAGGATGGCGAAGTAGAATTTGGATTCATGAAGACCTCACAGTCGGGGTATGAGGCCATGCAGTGATATGATATCTTTCCAAATACACCTGTTTCTCTTTATAGTGTACCGCTTTGAAACAAATTCTTGTTTGTCCTTCTGACACGAACTACTTATAGTAGACGATGATGTATTATTGATCCTAGCCCTTCCGACAACCCTCGTATTGAAAAGTCATCTGAAAGCCAAGCCAACATCTTTCATATTCGATGACAACATCAAACGGAAAATGCAGGAGCAACAAGACATAGTCTATTTCTAATATGTTCACCGGCCCCTGTCTGACATCGGGGGCCAGGAATGAATGGAGCGAGCAGACCCCGGCGCAATCCCGAACTATCTTCGGCATGCCTTGACTCAAACGGCGTTCCGGGTTCTCCCGGTAAGGCGACCTGCCATAGAACACGGGGGGTCACAACTTGGGTACGTTTGGATGTAAATTACTATTCATTGTAAAGATCATCTTCAACTTATGTCCTGAATACCAAGCTCTATCACAATGTGTATACAGTTATCCAAAGCAGTACAGCAAAAAGGGTTTTCAAGCATAATTTCTCAGAACAGTCAATCTAGTATTCCCATTCAGATACCACCAATCAACCACAACCACAACCACAACCCATACGATACACCACCCCCGAGTCGCCGATTAAAAACAACCCACCCCGAGCAAGAAATTAACTCAGAAACAAACACGGAGTTCGCGTTCAACAGACGCCGAGCATACAAAACTACGTAAAACAAGGGGACCTCGGGTCACGGGGACCAGCCCAGATTACAAGGAGTCGCCCGTAATCAGATAACAGCAGCGAACTTACGCCGAATTCCCTTCGCATTCATCTTCAGGTAGAGAGATAATGGGAAGGATTTCAAATTTGCTTCCACTTCGAGAGTAGACAGAGCACACCAACTACCCATATACTCATAATTAAGATACAACTTTCAGGTGTGGTCATCGAGCATCCTTAAGAAAAGGCAATCCATACATCCCGTACCTTCTATGTAAGTTCTAGGCTGTGCTGGATGACCCACCGGAATATGCAGGCGCTTGGAAGCTTAACTTGGTTACGAATGTCAGTTCAATGCGAGGGAGTCGGTCTAATTAGTGATTGTAATCACTAGTAATGGGTTGCTACTATTGAGAAATGGAAATTCAACCGTTTTCGATAGAGGATCTGCGGTGAACATACTTGGATTGGGGGAGTTTGATGCCGAGTCTGTAGTATTTGGGCAGTATTGTTAACGCTAGTTTATGTCTTGTGTATCCCTGTGGTGGTGATCAAGGCAGGCAAGCAGAGCACTGCAAAATGGGAAAGGAAGTTTCGAAGTAGGCCTTACCTTTGGTAACTAGTATCTTCGAAGTCCTGCATTCCAATTTTTGCAGCATATCTGACACTTTGTATTTTACGACGTGGTTTAGCTATTACCGTGCAAACCTGATTATTCTCTATAACAAAGATATCAGGCCTACGATTAACTCAACAGCGATAGCGATAAACATAGAATGTCATTAAGGTCACCCCCCAAATACCGTCCCTGACGTGGCGACAACAGCGGCAACCCTGCAACTAATCCAGACCTTGTAAAAAAAAAAAAAAAAACATACCCCCTTGTCAAGATCGACACCCATTATCTATGGATATGAAAATTGCTTGGAAATCTCTACAGCAGACGTGGCTGAGCAAATTTGAGTTGTTAATGCTAAGATAACTAATCTCAGGGTCAAAAGCCTCCACTGGGTCCTGAAGTCTTGGTATAGTAGATGGATCCGGGTTTTCTCGGTCCGCGTGACTTTATCTCTCATTCCTGCCGTTTTGTATGTATGGTTCCGGGCGCCAGTGCCACTCCCGGCTTTTGCCGATCCTTTCTGCCCTGTAGAGTCATACCCTGGATACGAGACAATGAATGGAAGTTTTGAATTTTTGCTGGGGCTGGAGGGTATAAATAGGGCTGGGGGTTTAGAGGGAGTTGTACATGTAATCAGTCTGATACATAGGATATCGAACAATAAGTGAATACTTTACTACTGAGCTCTTCATATTGTCTTCTACTACGAGCATACCGACTGCTTTCATACCCAATGAATTCGTTAACAGCAACGGCGCCCATTCGGGCTGCCATTCCAAAGTCATTCATGCATATCGCTACTCGAAATTACTCCGGTGTCATTGCTATGAGCGGTCTGCGCTGTAGCGGGTCGTTGGTGGCAAATAGACATCAGACAGCTGGGAAGCGATTCATATCAACCACGCCCAAGTCGCAGATCAAGGAATTCTTTCCTCCCCCGACTGCTCCTCATGTGAAGGAGGTGGAAACAGCTTGGGTCCATCCTGTGTACGTTCATCTCGCGCGTGCATGATAGTGAGTGGAGCTGACAATAGCAGCTATACCGAAGAGCAGATGAAACAAGTCGCAATCGCGCACCGAGACGCAAAGAATTGGGCCGACTGGGTTGCGTTGGGAACGGTGCGGATGCTGAGATGGGGCATGGATCTTGTGACTGGATATCGGCACCCTCCACCAGGCAGGGAACACGAGGCCAGGTTCAAAATGACAGAGCAGAAGTGGCTTACGCGCTTCATCTTCCTGGAAAGCGTGGCTGGCGTACCAGGCATGGTGGGAGGCATGCTGAGACATCTGAGTAGTTTGCGGCGCATGAAGAGAGATAATGGATGGTATGCTACATCTCGTGATTGTCAAAGATGACAGACACTGACCACGTCTAGGATTGAAACACTGCTGGAGGAAGCATACAACGAGCGTATGCATTTGCTGACCTTCCTTAAGCTCGCAGAGCCCGGATGGTTCATGCGCCTGATGGTTCTTGGAGCACAAGGGGTTTTCTTCAACGGATTCTTCCTGTCTTACCTCATGTCGCCACGCATATGCCACCGTTTCGTCGGATACCTCGAGGAGGAAGCGGTGATCACATATACCCGCGCAATCAAGGAGATTGAAGCTGGAAGTCTTCCCGCATGGGAGAAGACGGAGGCCCCCGAGATCGCCGTGCAGTATTGGAAGATGCCAGAGGGTCAGCGCAGCATGAAGGATCTCCTGCTGTATGTTCGGGCAGATGAAGCCAAACACCGGGAGGTGAACCATACACTGGGAAACCTAAACCAGGCGATCGACCCCAACCCATATGCCGCCAAGTACAAGGATCCGACAAAGGCGCATCCGAACAAGGGGATTGCAGTCCTGAAACCCACTGGATGGGAGCGGGAGGAGGTGATCTGAGTTCACATGCCAGATATTTGGTTTCTTTCACAGACAACCGGCTGGACCGGGTCTACAATGCGGCTTGAGCGTCAGCATATTATTGTCAGTGCAACATCGGGCTTATCGACCTGATGTTGGTGTTTCAAAATTCCTAGATTAGCACATTCAATTCAGCGAATAGATCTCCTCTCAATGATGACGACAATGGATGTTATGAACATGGATAATGTTTCAGTTTTCCGCTCCGAGATGATCAGGAGTGATATATCCCACCAGTAGTGATGGGAGCGGGTGTTCCTGAGCGCAAAGATGGATGGAAAACCGTGCCGAAGTTTGGATGCGGGGCTTCCAGGCACCGGGGAGGCGCTAAGCCCAGGCAGGACAAGGGCCGCCCGGCCGGATGACTTTCTTGGGACGCTTTGCATGATTCCCTCTAAGCACTTCCTAAAAGGAGGTGGATATCTGGATGTTCGGATTTATGAACCTGACTCGAGTGATGAGGCGAACAGCCCTACCTCAGGGGGAGAGCTGGATGAAGCAGAGCAAAGAACAAAAAAAGAAAAGAAAGCAATCGGCACTACTATAAATAACAGTGCAGGACTACTTATCTAGAAAGTACCACGACAACTCCCGGTGGCCGACGAGTTGGCACCGCGGCCATCGACCCGCTTCCCCTTTTAGTGGTAAAAATCCCCCTTTCGAGTCACGCCCAAATTAAATTCGTCGGCCGATCGATCACCATCACCAGTCACTCATCCGAGGCCCTATCCCTATTTTTAATCACGTCAAAACGGTTCCTGTTCCCCCCCGACGACCACCTGTCCTTTCCTGCTTTAGTGTGAGGCATATCCCATCTCTCGCCCAAACCGGATCTGTGCCCTCCAACGCCATACCGTTGAGATCTATCGTCTGCGAAAGTGCCAACCCTTCCCATCAAACGCATCGTCCAAAGCTTAGCATATGCCCAATATGGATGAATCTGTCGAGCCCGAATTCATGGCCCCTGTCCGAGCCTCGTCGCCCTCCCCCTCCATCCCAGCGACGCCGGCTATCTCCTCCTGTCCCTCACCAGATCGTACCTTTTCGACCATCTCCTCTCTGTCGACTTCTTCCGCCACTTCCGCCGATGCCAGGTCTTCCGTCTCCATCTCATCCAAGCGACGAGGATACATTCGCCCTCAGGGGGTCGAGTTCGCGGAGTCCGCCAAAAACCGGGAGAGTGTCATGAGTCTGGGTAGCATCGCTCATCTGCAATACTATTTTGCACGAACCGGTCTACTGGACGGCAAAGGTGCCCAGGCTAGGGAATTTAAAAAGAAAAAGAAGCCGGAGGATATGCCGCGACTGCTCTTGACCCCCAACGCTCGGTTTATCGATGACTTGACTCTCAGTCCGACCAGTGCCAGTCCCACCGATGACGAAAGTGAAAGCATAGATCCTAGGGAGGAGGTGTATGACGAGGATGTTGAAGTCATGCTTCCTCCCACGGTCAGTACCTACAGCATCAAAACGCATCACATCCCGCCCCCACCTAAACTCAAGGCTCTGCGGAAGGATCTGCGGGACGCATTGGAGAAAGCCGAACACAGTATCGAATCAATCGATGCTCAAAAGGAACCGCCGGCGGAGATGATTCCCCCGCGGATTAGTCTTTCGAGTGACGATATGCCTGACGCTGCGGAAGACCCCTCGCGTCAGGCGCCTGCAGAAGCAACCCCGCAGACCTGGCAAGAGATCCAGGGCATGCGGGTCCTAGACACTGTCACTTTTGCGATCCGAGCCGCTAAAATCTACTATACTGCGCATGAGCGGCCCGATCGATTGGCGAAGATCAAAAGCGAGCGCGAAATACGACAAGAGCTGTTCAATGTGCTAGAGGTCCTGAAGCGGTGGGCGTCCCGAAACTTTGCAGACGGTCTTCGCGAGGATGAACGCTCTGGCATTGTTGGATGGATGGCCAACGTGCGTGACATGTTGGCCCGGGAAGCTCAACTGGAGTCATTTGAAGCCAAAGAGCGAGCCGCCTGGATCTGGACCGAGGGTGAATGGATCGGTAAGGAGCGCGAGCGCGAGACTTTGTTCCTGCGTAGTCTGATCGGCTCCGACGCGCAGCTGCCGACATGGACTGCGCCGGAGGATGGCTCACCGCCACCCGCCATGCTGGAACGGCTGCGGGATGGACGCGACCTGGTGCGCGCCCATAATTTTGCCGTCAAGAACTCGAAGCGGCCGTTCCTCGATATCAAAACCTACCATCAGGATGTGGCCAAGCCCTACCGACGGGCCGAAAACCTTCGCTTCTGGGTGAAGGCGGCGGAGCTCCGGTGGGAGACGAAGTTGGAGATGGATGTGATGGGGATTGTGCATGGCAACAGTGAAGAGGCCTGGAAACAGTTCGACCAGGCTCTTCTGGCCTGGTGTAAAGTGGTGCGTGAGGAGCTCGTCCGAGACTGGCGCGAGAGGCGAGCTTCAGCAGCGAGCCTTCCACCCGACGATCTGGTGGTACGGCCTATGTGAGGGGGAATTTGGGAAAAGAAAGGGTCTACATGAGTAACTAACAACTTCGCTGGAGAGGGAGGAAAGGAGAGTTGTAATGATTGGGACTGGTTGGAACTGGTTGGAACTGATTGGGACCACGTATGGCGACTGGTTATTGCGTTTGTTTGCTGTCTACTCCGACGCCCATTGATACCCCTTACTTGTCGGAGTGCAGTCGGATTTGAATATGTTTTGGTGTCACTCCTCATTTCTTCTGCTGTCCTCCCAGCCACGTCAAGCTGGGAGAAGCGTATAAATTCAACTTTTGGTCATCTACAGTCCATGGGACTGTTGTGTTCGGTGCAGAGCACACCTTTCTGTTTCTTTTTTCTTCTTTCTTTTTCCTTTCTTATCTTGTCCGATCATTTTACTTAATCTATCCTGCACGGGGTCGCGGGAGGGATCCATGGATGGAAGTGTACATAGGAATGGCTGGCTGGTAGCGAGAATGCCATGATTCGAGACGAGAACCATACACAAACAAAGTAAACCAACCAACCGAACGCCACTCAGACGGGAGGAAGAAAGATCCAAGGAGATGGAAGACAGGGAAAATACCCAAGAGACCGGACTGGTGTAACGGTCAGGCCAAAGTCAATTTGGTTATTTACCATTCTCTCGAGGATAAAGTTTTACTGACGATTGAAAGGGAGACTGAGGGGATTATCCCCCGGTTATTCCTTACTATTTCCTCCCCCCAAACGGGTGATCGGCTGCCCGCCTGAGAGCCCGAAAGGGACAGGTTGCCGCTTATCCTTCATTCCAACTGGCTTGACCTCCTTCTTCTCTCTCTCTCTCCCTCCCTCTTCTTTCCCTTGCTATGTCCGCCCCTCTGCTGCCCAATCGTCTATCATGTAGTCAGTCATTCTTGTCAAAAAGCAGTTCTTCTTACCTTGGTGTTGGAGGGAAAAAAAAGACAAAAAGCAAAGCAAAGAAAGACAAGCAAAGAGCACAGACGGTGTAGCCCGACCGCCTACACATTCACAGCCCGATTACTTTATTCTTATTATCTGACAGGCTGAAACCGGATAGGGGCAGCAGCAGACGGACAGGGAACGGAAGGCAAATTACACTACTTTCTACTTACTACCCAAGCACATACTAGCTGACATAGCCCGGCCGCAGCGTTGGCGCATCCTCAGCCCATCAACCACATTCCTCTACCCACCGTCGTTCTTCACTAAACACACTAGTTCCTGGCATCCTACAGGCCAGCGCCCATCCCCCTCGTGGATCGCATCCATGCGTGCCATGTCCACCGCGTCAACGGCTACCACTGCGACCACCCACCCCCCGGATGCCGGGGCCAACCTGTCCACGTCGCAGTTATTCTCCTCCCCTCCTCCTCCTCCTCCACCCGCCCTGTCTATCTCCCATGTCGACCAGTCAATACCGCGACGAATCAAGTCCAAGTCGTCCCTACGAAGCCTCCGCAGCTTGGGCAGTAGCAGTGAACCCGACGATAACCAACAACACCACCACCACCAACAACACGACCTCGGCTTCGACAAGACTCTTGTCCGCCCGTCAATTCTCCGTCGCTTGTCCCCCGGCCTGGCTGCCCGCGTCAAGTTACTAGACGGTAGTAACAAACACAACAGTCCCTCTCGCAACCCCGGTGCCGTCGGTCGGATCCCCGAGGAACAAATCAAAGAACTCGACAAGTCGCATCAGGATTTATCCAAATCCATTAAGATCGAAAGGAAGGGTCGCTCATGGAATGCTTTACCTCGGCTACACAAGGATAAGAAATCTCACGGAAGTGATTCCAACCACTTAGAGGTCCCCGAACCGCAGCTACCGGAAGAAACCCCAGAGGAGTTGGAGGAGTTACTCACGCCCGACTCGGATCGTCCCCTGGATCTGCCTCTGGATCAAGGGCTGGAAGAAGAGGTCCCGCTGTCGGAAGAGGCCGAAGAGCCTGAAGAGGCTGTGAAGGTTGAGGCTGCTGGGGAAGACGTTATCGAGGAAGACCCTTTTGAAGAAGACGCTGTTGCGGAGCAAGGCGTTGCAGAAGAAATTGTGGAAGAAAGTGACGTTGCTGACGAGGCCGTTGAGGTAGAGGCTACTCTGGAAGAGCCCCAAACCGACATGTCTGTCGTTCAGCATGCTCCGGCGCCATTAGAGCCTAGGCCAGCGCCCCTACCTGACGTCCCCGAGCAGACAGACTTTGAGAAGTACATACAGAGCACCAATGAAGACGATTCGAATCCACCCCCGCCACCGCCAAAAGACTCTCCGCGCCCACGATCGACCACTTCCCTAAGCTCACAATCCTACTTCAACCCCCAGGGGTTGCAGCGCACGGAGTCCATCTACTCATTTTCTCGCGCCTCGTTTAGCAACCAACTCTCCCAGCTCACGTCCATCCCCCTTCCGCAACCGTCGTCGCTCGAGGCTAGTATCTCATCCATTGCAACCGCCCCTGCGGCGGTTCGGGCGCTCACCGGAGCGGCAGAGCAAATTCAAATATGGGTCAAGAAGGCCTCGGATGTGCTAGGGGGGTTGGATGCAGAGGATGACGTGGAGTGGGCAGCTGCGGCCGGACGAGAAGGTCTGGAGGGGGTGGACAAGGCGATCATCCGGTTCGAGAGCCTGATCAACGTCTACGTCAGGGCGATCGAGGAAGTGCAGCTGCGCGAGGATATTGGCGACGTGAGTACCGATAGCCTCCAGACGATCGTCGTGCAGATGGACACGATCATACAAAGCTGGGCCAACATCAAGAATCGACTCCGGGGAGTCAAAGGACAGGTTGAGCTGGCAATGGAGTGGGAAGAGCTGTGGGGGAACGTCTTGGGCGATGTGACGGTGGAGGTAGAGAGTCTCACCGGGCTGATCTTCGAGATGGAAGAAAAACGGCACTGGACGCTGGCAGGCGAGCAGGACTCTAGCGCCTCTGGGCTCGACATCAATGAGCTGGAGACCATCGTGGAAGAGACCCCATCCCAGGCGCAACTGCTGTCCAGCAAACGACTCAGTATAGATCCCATCCTTACCGGGCCACCGACGATGGACATGCCGGTTATTCAGACGCCACATGACGACACGAATCACTCGAACCTCATCGCGCTGTTCGCACGAATACAACCGTTGCGAGCGTCGCTTGATTTCTTGCCGATGAGAATGTCCATGTTTCAAGCGCGGGCTGAGAGGATCTTTCCCAGCGCTTGTGAGGAGCTCGAGGAACGGCGGGGCCATCTTGAACAGAGCTTTCAAAAGCTGGAGCAGGATGCAGATGCGCTGCAGAAAGAGCTCAACGAAGACCGGTGGATCCTCGTCTTCCGTAACGCGGGTGGACAGGCGCAGAAAATGTTCGACTCGGTGGAACGCAGCATCGCAAAACTGCAGGAGGCCATCGAGACATGCGCCCATCTGCACGATGCAACGTTGTTTACGAAACGTATCGAAAGCTACGAGGCTAAGAAGCAGCACTATGTGGCAGCGATTGAGCGGGTAGTCTCGATTATTCGCAAGGGTGTCGATGACCGACTGACGGTGAACGGAGAGATTCTGCGACTGCTGTCGGACATGACCTCAAGGGTCGACGCCCTGAAGGCGAGTGTCCGGGTGATGGATGAGTGGCTGGAGGACATAAACTTTGTCCGATCACAGCATCTCCGGGACTCGATCTCCAGTATCATGACGATGGACAGTCCTCTGACCGGCAGTGTCGCCGATACTCCGGGGAGCTCACCGGCATCTTCAGTGGTGATGACGCCCGCGAACCCCCTCAAGGGCTCTGCTACGCCAATGGGAACATCTAGTCGACGTGGCAGCTCGGTCAGCTCTGCAGCGCGAACGACAATGTCCAAGATGCGACGGTACTCGGGCATCCCGCAGGCGACGGCCGCGCTGACCAGCAAGAAGTCGTCTCTCCCCAAGCCTTCGCTCACTGCGCCGTCACCGAGTCGGATGGGCGCCGCCACACCCACCCCTGCTGCGCGTAAGCCTGTCAAGCCGGCGCCGTCACCAATTCCCAATCGTCCGCGCTGGACCAACAGCACCAACACGAACGACCTATATGTCGGCCACGTGTACAAACCCAATCCTACTCCCCGCAAGCCCTCTGCTTCTGGGCGCACATCACGGCCCTCATCGACCATACCTATGGGACCGTTCCGGCGCGATATGTCGGTCTCTCCAGCACCGATGACGGCACGCTCTATGAGTCGGGTTTCCAGCCGCCTGACGAATCGCAGCCCAGAACGCATGGGCTCTCCTACACCTAATCGTTCTATCCTCGACCCTCCTCCTTACAGCAAGCTCCGGCGGCCCGACGGCATGTCGAACGCGCCGCGCAGCCGACAGAGCTTTGCGGGGCTGTCGTTCAGCCGCAGTGTGTCGCATGACCACGAACGAAACATTGCCAGTCCGACGAAGACGCCGCGGCCAGGCACCGCGCTGGGGCATTCCGCGAACCGGCGGATCAGCTTGATCCCATTGCCGAAGAACAACCCGACGCCTCGCAGCAAGCTCGGAGAGCGGCCGCCATGGCGGTAATCGGGAAGATACCATACTATGTGACATAGCATTTCCGGGGGTCTTTGATTTCTAGCATTTCCGTTGTTCGATCTCGCATTAACTTCACACACTCATGTACTATGCATATTGGCATTGCGGTTCGGGAGCCAGTGGTGTCAGATACCAGATTGCTTGAAGCCGGTTGTTAGATTGATTCCCCACTCGCATTGATTTAGGAGTATTTCATTGATTGAAGGGAGCGACTTCATGTATTGGGGTATGTTTTAATTGCAATACACTTTATATTATATATGTATATTATTTTATTTTCGTTTCGATTATACCAAGGATTTCCCAATGATAAGCGCATCAACGAGATCAGGACTATTCGCCAGACGCGCAGCACCCGGCACACGACCAATAACCTGGAATCCCAGATTCTCCCAGATTTTGACGGAAGCAACATTATTCTCAAAGACGAGGTTAAACACGGAGTATTTGTATCCCTACCCAGAATTAGCACCACCCAACCATCCATCCCCAAACCACCCCCGAAATGAAGAAATAAAGAAAAAACATACCAACTTCGGCGCCACCTCCAGATAAACCTCCCCCATAACCCTCCCAACACCACGATTCCTGGCCGCGGGAGTCGTAAAGAACCCGGCATTACAAACATGCGAGCAGCGTCCTATCCCAATACCAGTTAGCATACATACATATTATCCTATCCCCAAATCCACATATATCATATCAATCAAATAAATAACAAGTGAGAGAGCGAGAGAGAGAAATACCCGGATAATTCGGCTTCACATAAAACGTCCCCAGACAAACCCTCTCCCAATCCCTGCCCTCCCTCAACCCATTCCCATCCCCCTCACCATCATCAACAACAGCAACCACTGCAAATGTCCCAAACCAATACGTCCGGTAGAGGTCATACTCGAGGGGCGATTCCATGGGATAGGTACATCCTTTGAGAATCTCTTCGGAGAATTCCCTGTGTAGGTAGTGGAGGAGAGAGGAGGGGAGGGAGTCGGGCCCCGTGGTTATGGGGTAAAGGGTGATGCGGGTGTTGTCGCGGAGGGTGCGGGAGATGGGGGAGAGGGAAGGGTTGGGGGTTGGTGGGGGGATGTGGGTGGTGGGGTCTTCGAGGAGGGAGGGCATTTTCTCGTTCTTGTCTCTCTATGAGAATATGGGGGAGGGGGAGGAGGAGGTGGTGGTGGTGGTAATGGTGTGTATAAGGTTGTGTGATGAGACGAGGTGGGAAGGGAAGAAGGGAGTTGGAGTGGGATGGTGAGTTAGTGAGGGGATCAGTTGGGGTATATGTATGGATTTGATGTGGGGAATGGAGATAGATGTCGACGGTAGGGCGTGCATAAGTAAGATTTTTAGTATGGCATTGGAATAGGATTGACTGGTTTTATTCTTTCTTTTCAGGTACGGTGGGGGCAGTGGGATGGGGGGTTTTGTACCATATATTGCCATGGATTGAGGGTTTGTGTGGCGAGTGGTATGTACTATGTAGTATAGAATAGATTGTTGATTGTCATTGAGAGTGTCTGTCAATTGATGTCTATTCTACTATATTTTGGTGTTAGAATCAAGTCTGTTATGAGGGTTAAGACATGCATATCTGCATTCTGCATGTCGATTTGGCTTATCAGTCCCGATCTCGGATATCGGATATTTCGGGTGGTTTCCGGTTGTTCGGTATATTACTATATGGTCTCTTATAGCAGCTTTTTTATTGCACCTTTTTTGGTAGGTTGGTGAACATTTTGATATGGGTTATGTGCTAGTTTGAGTATATTTGACATTCTAGAGCTGGTTTTTTTTCTGTGATGTCCATAGTTGCAGTTACTATCCTATTAGTTCAAATCGATTTCTACTATATAAAGAGCTGATGTTCATCAAATGTACTCTACAACAATCCTATTAACCTCTATATACATGATCTACACAATCCATCAACTTATACCATATCATACAATCCGGGTATCCCAACTTTACCTCTCCCCATACTTTCTAGACCTACCTCCCCTGCAATAACCTCATCAATTATTGCTTCTCCCCCTCCCCCTCTCCCTCCCCATCCTTATTCTGAATCGCCTGCATAAGCTCATACAACTGCCCAATCTGCTGATCTATCTCCCAGTTAGCACACACCACCCTACCCCAAACCACACCAGCTGATAGGCAGTAACTCCAATGGAGTAGTAACTCACCACTCATCTTATCCAGTTTACTCTTATCCAACTTCTCCCCAATCCACGCATCTCCCTCCAATTTCTGCGCATATAATTGCCATTCCGTGAGGAAACCAATCTACCATCACATCACCATATCATTAGCAATCCACACACTCAATATGCGTCATAATAAGAGGGGATGGGATGTACAATATGCAACGGATTATCCACATTCCGATGAGCCCGGAATTCACTCTTCACATAGCCATCACCCAGGATCCGCATCTCGGGGTCAAGTTTCTTGCGGTGCACGCGGAGAATGCGACGGTAGAGCTGCAGCGGCGGGAGCAGGGCCAAGGTCTCGGAGAGGCTGGATTTGGAGCCGAAGGTGGACGGCGTGGCGAGACGGCGGGCGGCCGTGGGGGTAAAGCGGAGGAATTGGGACATGCTGGTCTTTTTTTCTTTCTTCAATTTCCTGGTCGCTTTAGGTAGGGAATAAAGTGACAATTGTAAGCAGACGAAGTTGGGGAATGATGGATGATGAAATGCGATTACTGCCGCGGATCCCTCCAAGGCGGAGAACCAAAGCATACCAGCACTCCGTTTTTGGGAGGCTATGATTGGTTCGTTCATCGGAGTTTCAATCGATACAATATTCTTTTCATCTACCCATTATCATCCCACTATATACCAATATCTCAATTCTTCCGGTCCAACAGAAAAGATAAAAGGGACAAAAATGCTCCCCACCCCCTGCACCTCCCACGTCTCCTTCGACACCATCTACGAACCCTCCGAAGACTCCTACCTCTTCCTAGACACACTCTCCTCATCCAACGAATCCGCCTGGCTCACGAACCACTTCTCCCCATCAACATCCTCGCCCTCCCCGCTCCTTCTCGAAGTCGGCACCGGCTCCGGCGTCGTCCTCGCCTTCCTCACCGCAAACTCCCACCACATTCTCGGCCGCACTGATGTTCTTGCCCTCGGCACGGACGTTAACCGTAATGCATGTCTTGCGACGAGACAGACGGTTTTGAAGGCGATTGAGGAGCAGCAGCAACAACAACAAAAACAATCCCAATCAGTCTCTACAGATGATTCTAAAACCTCTCAAATCAAATCCCTCATCTCCTCAACACTTACCTCCGACCTCGCCTCGCCGATTCGTCCTCACTCGATTGATATCCTGCTGTTTAATCCGCCGTATGTGCCTACGCCGGAATTGCCGCGGTTACCTAGTAAGGAGGATAATGATGAAGGAGATAAGGAAGGGGGCATGTCGAGGAGTGAAAAGTTTGAGAGGGAGTCGTATTTTCTCTCGTTGACGTATGCCGGGGGTAAAGATGGGATGGAGATTACAGAGAGGTTGTTGGCGGATATTCCGAGGGTGTTGAGTCAGAGGGGCGTGGCGTATGTGTTGCTTTGTGCGCAGAATCGGCCGAGGGAGGTGGTGGAGAGGATCATGGGTTGGGATGGGGATATGGAGGGAGGGAGGTGGTGTGCTGAGTTGGTTGGGAGTAGTGGGGTGCAGGCGGGGTGGGAGAAGTTGGTTATTGTGAGGGTTTGGAGGGAGTTCACTTCTTCTTCTTCTTCTTCTTCTTCTTCTTAGGGGTTTAGGTTGTGTATAGTTGGGGGTTATATACTACTGGGAAAATAGATGATAGACTAATGAGTGATGATGATGATGATGATAGACGAGGGTATGATTGATTTCTGACAACACTTCATACATACCATGAAGTGTGTATATTTCTGTTCTTCTTCGTGTGTGTTTATGTCGCGGCCACTGATTAGATAGATATACAGCAGAGTAAACTACTACTCTTCTCTTCTCGATCTCGAGTAGATTCGATTCGACTCGAGTCGGTCATTCATCGACACAACCGACCTACCTTGCAGTTTCGTCTCGAGTCTAATAAATAAATTAGACCCGACAATCCACCGCGCAACCCAACCCAACCCAGCAGACCTCGTATATCACCGCCGCTTTTCTCACCCATTTTCCTGGTCCAGCTTTTCCCCTCACACCCAGATCCAGACCAGACCAGTATCACGTCGAACCCATTCAGCGCAAATCAATCACCCAGCCATAGGATAGACAAGAGATAAAAAAGAGTCACAAAAAGAAACAAAAAAAAAACTCCGATCCTCAAGTAGTTGTAGTAGTAAAAATGAAATCGCAATGTCTAATACCAATCCCATCCAGCTTAGAATCCACGACCACGGCCACGGCCACGACCGCGCCCTCTACCACGAGGACCACCACGGCCACCACGGCCTCCGCGGTCGGCTTCCTTGCGCGCCTTGTTCTTGGGCTTGGGCGTGTCGTCGATCAGCAGCGTGTCGAGGGGCAGACTATCGGGCAGGATGTAGTAGCGGATCGTGGAGCCACGGATGTTGATGGTATCGAGGGATATAGGGTCGCGGCCTTTGGGGGTCATTTTGACCGTGCGGAGGGAGGTGTTCATCTGGGGGGAGACGGAGGTGATGGTGCCGTGGAGGATGGTGCCTATTATGGTCAGATTGATGGTTCACGAGTATTGAGGGCACTGATATTCAAGCGCTGAAGGATTAAGGGGGTAGACGCACCATTCTTCAGCTCAATCGTCACCGTCTCGTTGGCGCACTTCATCAGAAACCTGTGCAGAGGATTGTAATTAGTCGCTGTGCAATCTTCGCGGGCACAAGCTGCGTCGGGCGCTCTGGAGCTGCTGGCTTACCGAACGAGCTTCATGGTTGTGGATTTACGCGCAAAGGCACTCAATCAGGGTATAGAAATAGGGAAAATGGGTTGGGCGAGTCGAATACTAGCCGGCTTCGTCAGGGTCGAGTTAAGGTCGCTTGTCGACATCGCGGCTCTCAGAGGCTGAGCTTGGTTGACCGCCCGAGCACGTGACCGTTTCTACGAAATACAAGGCAGGATGGTTTATGTCGTTCCCATTATGCTTAATTGCACAAGACTAGCCAATATCGCTAACATGCCTAGATTAGCTAACAATGTTCCAACCGAAATCGCTTCATGGTATCTTGTAGAAAGTCCGAATATGTCACCAACGCCCGCCAAGGAACCGGAAGTTACAAAACGCCATGTCGCGCCTTGAAGATGGCGATCTTGTCATCGTAGAACAAGATCTCTCGCAGCCGATACGATACTCGAGACTTGTTGTAATCCATTTCAGAACCCTCCCCGTCTGACGATATCCTGTCGTCTGACGACAGGTCCGAGTGCGAGTCCATCGCGCTGACCCCGCCGTCGTCGTCAGATTCATCCTCATTGGTGTCTGATCCTGCCCACTCCTCGCCCCCAGGCACGAACCCCTCGCTATGGTTGTCGTCTGTGTCATAGAACTCTCCGGCATCGCCTTCTTTTGCCTCCAAGATCTCGTAACATTTATTTTGTATGCCTACATAGGTGATGCCCACCTCCGGACGGATAGTCACAATATCCAGGATCATCATCGCCAGTTCTTTCGGGTCTCGGTGAGCCTGCCGAGCGATATGTGGGATATGGAGCGCGCGAAGCTGAGGCATATACGGTAGCCTTTGAAGGAAATAGTGCTGCTGACGTTAGTACAAGAAATAAGGAGGTCGCTTGGTACTTACCCAGTCCTTTGAGTGCAGAGCTATAGAGAGCTCCCGCAGCCGTGGCATACGTCCGCTGCTGAGAAATGTGAGCATCTGGCGAGTGAACATCCACTTGTACCACCGCACACTGGGCATTTCGCTTCCCCCCGGTGCCCGCTGGGTGCTATCGACCAATATCTTTTGCAGGCTGAGATGATGGGTCTTAATAGCGTTCTTGTAGATGGCATCGATATGGACGATCGAGTCATACATCGGTGCCTCATGTAGGAATAGGGTTTGCAGCGTGTTGGGCGCGAGTGTATCCTTGATAAACAGCAGCAGATATGGCGACACAGCATCCGTGTGGATATGCCTGAGGTTCAAGCGATACTCAGAGGCACTCTGATCACCTTCGCGTCTACTATGTTTCGAGCGTGACGACACAGACGGGGAAAATTGCCGGCGCAGCGCTCTCCAAAGCTTTTCGTGGCTCTCACAACGAAAGATTGTCAATTTTGTCAGTTGTGCCCAGTCAAGCGCGTGCAACGCAACTGGAATCGACAGAGGAACGTGCTCGAGTTCTAGGGTATCGAGCTTCAATATCTGGTGACGGGACCCCGGCACAGCCAGAGGCTTTTCCGAGCATGAGTTTGGAATCTCTCGTGACAACTTAGTCTCCGACGCGATAGGCGGCTGTTGTTGTGCTATGTGCGTATTCTGCATATTCAAGGCAATGGAAGCGATGTCGTCCGCGGGCAAGGGAGACCCTGGAGTGCTATATAATAAAGAAAGTGCCTGATTTTCCGGCTGATTAGTCTCCGCATGACTTTCAGCTGCCTCCTGCTTTGGCACTGAATCTGCTTGAATCCGACTGGGGTGTGTGGGCTCCTCAGATCTTCCAAGAACAACCCCAAGTACGCCGCCAGACTTCGGCCATCCGGAATGGCCGCGGGATGGTGTTGGCTGCTCAGCCTGCCAGCTTCCTGCCGGCTTCAACCAAGACGCTTGGTAGACCTTGCTAGAAATGCCAATACGTAATTCTTTCAGACGGTCTCTGGATCGCTCAACAAGTACAGCCATTTCTTCGAGATACGACGGTTCATCTATATCAAGGACACTCAAGCTCTTTAGCGGCGGGAGTATCGACAGAGAAGGGTATTCTACATGCCCATATCTCTGTAGTAGCGAGGAATTACTAGCTGACCCTGCTAATGCTTGTGTGTCTGGAAGCGTCACGGAAGATGCAGTAGAGGGCCCGGCCAACGGACGCATGGTATTCTCGGAGTTGTCGTGCCAACGGACCCAAACGCGCTGCAGACGACAATCATGGCCGGGCCGATTTGCTAGCGATGAAAGCGCTATCCACACATCTCTCAAAACGCCGGTTGGCATGTCCCAAACGAACGTCTCCAGGTTGACCATCCGAGCCACAGCCAGAGCAACTAGCGTCCCCAACATTTTGCCAGTCTCCTTCGTTACAGAGTACTCTTGGACCCAGACAAGGGGACCGTTACCGACTGAGAATTTGCGAGTGTATTGTGCATAGTAGTTGCCTCGACGGATCTTCAAGAGTGTGTCTGGAGGGTCATCTTGACTCGGCGCAGGGCTATTGCAACCGCAATGGGGACAAGTTTGCGCTCGCCTTGGGGGTAGCTCGCGGAATATATCTTGTCCCATCACTAGCGTTGCAAGACCGTAAGAGAGAGCGTCCACGCCAGCCGGGTGGTCGGAGGATGACAGTGTTTCCGGCCATACGATATCAAAGCGAGAATACATCTGGGGGATCGCTAATGAATGGAGGGCAGAGCAAGTCAGAGCGAGAGATGTGAGGTCATTCGTATGCGTTACCTGGGATCATCCAAGTGTTAGTTTGTAGTAATGACTTGTCGCAGCCAGTTGATCAAGTATAGCCCGTACCTCTTTGATAATCACCTGTAATATATCGATGGGCAAATCGAGCAAGCGAAGAGGCCGCTTTGTTGTTGAAAGGGGTGTCGCATCCCGCTCCGAATGACTGCTTTGACAGGTTCCCGAGCCTACATCCTTTTGAATGCTATTGCGGGGTGGAGTCACCGGAATATCGACCGAAGTATCCTCTGTCTTCATGTCGTGCTCAGATCGATTCTCTGTCCGTTCCTCGGACCCATGGGAAGTGGTGCTGGCGCTGGACATGAACTCTTCTTCATCATCTGTTAGATTTTCCACATCGGAGCTGACTCTCGATCCCAGAAACAAGCTGCTGGGACCAGCCATGTTATTGCTGGCGGATAATGTATGGTAGCTATCCATGCCGACTGAGGAGGGGCTCCGAGCACCAGACGGAAACCAGCCACTGGCGCTGACTGGTGGCGCAATTGCGAATCAAAAGGTCTTGTTCGGAGTGACGGTCTTAAATAGGTCTGAGGGTCCGGAGTGATAATAAGGATGCTAGGAGCGGAAGTGACGGGATCGGATCCGGGGTAAACGAAGCAGTCGAGGACGGGGCGCCGGTGGGAACACGGGCAGATCGACCAGATGGCACCGCAACGAAGAAACCGCCAATCAGGGACCGGCGGTCAGATGCATGCTACTTGCCTCAGATCTGCATGCCACACATCAGCACGGCAAGGAATCCACTCTCGACACAGAGGAGCACGGAGTACAGAGTAGAGCTTGGAGATCCGTATCCTCGGTGGGACGCTGTCCACTTGGTGGCGGCGAGACGGTGGTTGGGGCCTCCCTTCCGGGCCTAGCGCCCCTCCCCGTGACAGCGGCCCCGGACCCGTGACTAGACATTTGCTAGATATACGCTACGGTTGCGGGTTGCTATAGTCGTCATATCTATATCTACAATACTGACTCGCTCACATTAATTTAAGTTGCTAACTCTGCCACAAGTACTGCATATATCCGTTTCATTATGAGAAAAGAAAATAATAGCCTATGAAACAAGCATATTTGCTAATAACAATTGCTGACAAAAATAAAAAGCCATTCACAGAAAGCGAAACCAAACAAGCACCCTAAACGGCTCATATGCTAGTAGTATTTTCAAGACAAAGAACA